CATATACACACATACACACATATACACACACATACACACATATACACACACATACACACATATACACACACACATGCAAACACACAAACACACACACACACACACACACACCCATACACACACACACAAACACACATACACACATACACACACACACACACACACACACACACACACACACACATACAGTAAAACCTGGTTTAAGCGACCATGACACGGTGCAAGGAAAAGCGGTCATTAAAACCAGGTGGTCTTTAGAACCAGGTCCCACACTCTCTGTATAGAACTGTGTGTGCATGGAAAAACGGTCGTTAAGATCAGGTAGTGGTTAAAACGAGAGTTCACTTAAACCAGGTTTTACTGTACACACACATTTTAAAGTGAACAAACATGCAATATACTCACCAGTTGATGACATCAAAATCCATACATGCGCACACATATAGATGCCGACATTCCTGCCCGCACTCCTGCGTGCATTCCTGCCCACACTCCTGCCAACATTCCTGAACACAATCATGCTCGCACTCTTGCCCATACTCCTCCCCGCACGTCTCGGCTCACATGCCTGATCACACTCCTTCCTGCACTCCTTCCCACACGCAGCTATGACTGCACACACTCTGGCCTCGGCGGCATCGCCATGTTTTCAAAATGGTAGTCGACGCTTTTCGAATTTTGTATGGTCGGGGTGAGCACTTACTGTATTTGAAGTGAGGGTAACATAGAGGCAGCTAACGAGGTTTTCACCTTGTCGGGCATTGCTTGTGATACTTACTAAGTCACCTTCGCTGTCACGCACTGCATCTGCCACCCTGGTATCTCAGGCACGGTGGTGGCCTTGTACAAGCGAAACTTCCTAAACTGGTTGTGTTTCTCAATACATTTCTATAAACGGTTGTGTTGCGCGTCTGCGATCTTTACTTTCTTCTGATGAACCTCAAAATAGGGAAATGTGTTTTAAAAGGATCTGGGAACTACACAGCTCAAGACCTTTCTGGTTTCTAGGGATGACACCGCCACATGAAAAGACCACATGAAAAGGCTACATGAAAAGACAACATGAAAAGACCACATGAAAAGACCACATGAAAAGACCACATGAAAAGACAACATGAAAAGACCTCATGAATAGACTACATGAAAAGACCACATGAAAAGACCACATTAAAAACCACATGAAAATACCACATGAAAAGACCATATGAAAAGACCACATGAAAAGACCACATGAAAAGACCACATGAAAAGACTACATGAAAAGACAACATGAAAATACCACATGAAAAGACTACATGAAAAGACCACATGAAAAGACGACATGAAAAGACTACATGAAAATGCCACATGAAAATGCCACATGAAAAGACCACATAATAAAGACCACATGAAAAGACTACATGAAAAGACCACATGAAAATACCACTTGAAAAGACTACATGAAAAGACCACATGAAAATGCCACATGAAAAGACCACATGAAAATGCCACATGAAAAGACCACATGAAAAGACCACATGAAAAGACAACATGAAAAGTCGTCAGATGCCGCTTCTTTACGGATGGAGAGGAAACTCAGATTCACCAATTACAGTTTATGGGCAAAGGTGAAAACCCACTTTCTGCATCAATGTTGCCCTGTTTTCCACACCTCGTGTTCCCAACTCATTGTGGTGTACAGCACAATTGAAGCAATCCTCTTTAAGTCAGGACTTGATCATGATACATACATCTGTCATTGCACAATCATGGTCTGAGATCTCACTCACTGGGCCGGCCTGACTCATTATGTTGGAAATGGTGCAGCACATTTCACTGAATGTTACCTAGGACTGATTCAACGGTTCTATACTTCATTGTTGAGCAATGCATGAGTAGAACTTACAGTGGTGAAGTGGGTAGGACAATACCACGGCTCCCATGAGCAGCATGACGCTCAGCATGGCCTGATACGTTCAACAGGAAAGAACAGAAAACAGCATATGAAAACTATCCATGTCTCCGTGCAGAAAAATTTGATTATCGGAATGGGTATAAATTATAAACTGATTTCATAAAAGGTAAGCATAAAACACATTCCTAACTTGTCATGTATTCACTATCCACAGAGACAATTACTCTCTTTTCGTACAGAATCTCCTGCAAACTGAAGTTCTCTTTGAGACCTGAGCACGCTCATAGATCAAATGTGCCTCTAGATTCAAAAAGGCGGCTTATGTCATTTTTGAGCATTTTGAGTGATCTATACCCTGGCTTTGCTGTATCCCAGCAGATCACTTTGTAAAAACACCTAGGTCTAAAATTGTCATCTTTCACAGAGTTTTTAAATTAAATTATCGTATCCGTTCCCGAAGGGAACTCACGACGGCCGCTAACACCCGATAAACCCTAGCGGCAGATGCAGCGCCTAACGGTGGGGGTGAGTGGGTAAGTCTCACAACCACTGGCACAAGTGCCGAAAGCGACCCCATTAGCTGCATCCATGTACCCCTTGTGCCTGGCCACAAGTTCCCAGTTGACTGTGGGTAGCAGCACGGCTGGAAAACCGCTCCCAGGCAGGACTTGAACCAGGTACCTCTCGTATCTCAATCATGGTCTTTGACCAACCCACTGTGCCTGCCTGGTCGAGTTATAGGTGTTTCAAAAAGTGAGTTATTTTTCGTTGGCTGAGCGTAGCGAATGAAACGAAAAATGTATTTTTTGCCAGCATTTTCAACATAGTTACGCCACCAGGATTGCGTCAGCTGTTTTTTGTCAGTGTTCTCAAACTTTTCTCTTTATCGTGGTCTTTCTCTTTTCCTTGTAGTTTGCATTTTTGTTCGTCCGTGGAAGAGTTTATCCATGCCACAAACGAGAAGTAAAAACTCGCTGGCATGCGTTTCGCTTGCACCTCTGGTTCAAATCCCAGTTCCACCCAGAAAAAAGCGGACCCGGTCCGCCTCACCTGGAGCTGTCGGCACAGCCCGAAAGCGTATTCATGATGGCAACGTCGAGGAGCAAGTACCTGCTCCGGATCCTGTCATGGTGGATTCCCCGGAGGTTGCCGGCTTCCCGCCAGTTTGGTTCGCGCAGGCCTTCGGGCAGCTGTCAGAGGAGATCCAGGATGTCAAGAGAGAGACGAGGGCTGCGCGGGCTGAGCTGGGAGCCTCCAAGTCGAACCAGGTCACGTTGAAGCAAGCTGGCCTGCAAAAACAATTCGACTTAAACCCAACTGTGCTCAATGGCGTGGAGGGAGCGCTCACTCAACTGCCATCAGGTCATGACACAGCTGCATACCTAGCAAAAAGTAAGGCGACCCTGACCCTCCGCCAGAAGCACCTCAAGATTGCAGACGCTTACGATTGGAAAACAGTCGAAGTTTATCAAAACGGGGTGCTGCGTGACTGGATGGCAGATGACAAGAGGATTGCTGAGGCGACTGCAACAGCACGGCGGATAGCATCACGTCCTGATAGCACGCGAGAGCATCAGCAGCGGAATTTTCGCACCCCCAGCCAGCAGTATATGTCACGGCCGCCTGCACAGTTCGGCAGAAGAAACACTGCTCTGCTTCGCTGGGACGATTTACAACGCCTCACGCCTCAGGATATCTCCATTTGCGGCACGCATATGTCCCTACACCTGCGACGACGCAAGAACGACCAGTTGCGCCAGGGCGATGTGGTCATGGTGAGCCGACTGGAGCAGCAGGCTACTACACCATGTCCTGTGTCGGTCATAGAGGGTTTCTTGGAGAGAGCACGGCATGTACCCACTCAACCTCTCTTTGGCAAGGTCTCCGCAGCAACCCACTAGTCATGTCTGGGGGGAAAGATGACATACGCCCGGGCGCGCAAATTGATCCTCACAGCTCTCGCCCGCGTAGGTGAAAACCCCACAGGGTATGGCACGCACAGTCTCCGCTCGGGGGGAGCGACGGCAGCGGCCAATGCTGCCATGCCAGAGCGCCTTCTTCAGCGGCAAGGGGGTTGGAAGTCATCCACATGTAAGAATATGTAAGTTGAGGATTCCCTCAAAGACATGCTGTCGGTGTCTCACGCTATACTGCACCAGTGACTATCGGGTCGGCTATACTTTCCGTCGTGAGTGAACAAACACCACATTACTACTGTGATCTGTATCTTTCTGTTGTGTGTGGGTGTGTCTGCGGTGTACGCAGAGGCCAGCTAGCTGGCAAAAGGTGTTCATTTTTATTGGCTGAGCGTAGAGAATGAAACGAAAAATGTATTTTTTTGCCAGCATTTTCACCATAGTTACGGCACCAGGATTGCGTCAGCTGTTTTTTGGTCAGTGTTCTCAAACATTTCTCTTCATCGTGGTCTTTCTCTTCTCGTTGTAGTTTCCCACCCGCCCTCCCCTTTATTCTCACTTCGGGATAGGTCCTGCAGGCTACGTTTTGTTCATTTATCTTATGGGGTTATTCTAACCAGTTTTTCCTCACGGTTGTGCCTCCGCCGGGTCCTGAGGTTTTTTCCGCCGGCTTCGGGCTGGTTAATTATCCGGCGGCCCCATTCGCCACATTGGTTCACTTTTTGCATCATGCTGGTCTGGTACGTATGTGTACATGTTTATGTGTGAGGTGGCATGCCCTTCTTCATGCTCATCTATACACTACGCTAAGACCACACTACTACTGTGATCTGTATCTTTCTGTTGTGTGTGGGTGTGTCTGCGGTGTAGGCAGAGAGGCCAGTTAGCTGGCAAAAAGTGAGTTATACATCACTTTATGCGGAAACCACACAGCTTTAAAATGCATTTTCTCAGTACTGCGTGTAACTACATAAGCGTGTATGTTCGCAAGTTGTACTTATTGTAGTGTTGAGATACCAAATTCAACTAAACCAATACAATACAAAAGAAGAAAAATAGAAAAACCCTCTTTTCCGATCTAGAGGCTCAAGTTGTGTTGCAAGATAGTGTGAAGTAGACATTTGCACACAAGTAAACTAACACTAGCATACAGGGAGCACACATGGTGTATTGAGCACATTCAACTTTACCAGCATCATCTTGCCGAGCAGCAGTGGACTGACTGGCTTGATCAGAGTGTGACTGGCTGTTCGAAGGAACGCTCTCTGCCGAGTCTGATAGAACAGTAGAGGAATTGAATTTAAAAAATATCCATGTCTCGGAGCAGAAATTTTCGATTATAGGAATGTGTATTACATCCTAAAGGTTAGCATAACACACATACCTAACCAGTCATGTGTTCATTATCCACAGGGAAAATAATTCTTTTTTCGTATAGAATCCCATGCAAACTGAAGTTCTCTTTGAGACCTGAGCAAGCCCATAGATCAAGTTGTGTTGCAAGATAGTGTGAAGTAGACATTTGCACACAAGTAAGTAAACTAGCAGTAGCATACAGAGAGCGCACATGGTGTATTGAGCACATTCTACTTTAAATAAGCGACGAGGAGATAATAGCTTTCCATGATGAGTGTGTCATGAAAAATGATCAGGAAATTTTGCATTTAGATTCATTATAATTATTATTCTCTTCTTTTTGTTTCGTAACGTCCGCCTTACTAATACTATTCTTGACATTTTTTATCGGTTGAACGCGTTCTTATCGACATCAAGTTTTTAAGTTGTGCATTCGCCTCATAATGCATGCTGCCACAACACTCTGGTTGACTTTGCTATGAATGAAGCCACAGTTTTCACATCTGACAATAACGAGATTGCTGCAATACTCCTACACCTAGGTGATTGGCTTGGAATTTGCATTCACTGTGCTTGCAATGCTTTTCTTTTTTCCAGCACATTTCAAGACAATATGCTACAGTTTGTTTTACATCACCAGGCATACACATATGGGATAGGTGTGCAATGAGATTGGTAATCTGTCTACTCATGATTAGTCACACACGTTTAATCCACACACTTGTGATAAGTAGCACACCATTGACTCATGCACTCAGCATAAGTCAAGCACTTTCCAAAGAAGGACATTACATTTCTGGACAGGCAAGCCCAGCGAGGTAGGTAATAAAAATTTTCTCGGGCAATATTTTTGGGTTGCAAGTATGGCATCTAATGTGTTCTTTATCGTTGTTTCTTTTCCTGGCTTCCTCGATCAGGTTTGAGTCTCCTCAGGGTCCTTGCCCTCCCAACCTTCATTTCTGTGCACATCAATCTTGCTTTTTCAAATTAAATCTTGCTATGATGTGATTTGCCTGCTTCTATGATGCCATACAATCACCATTGAGGACATGCACCTGGTTTTTCACCTCACTACTACGTGCTTCCGCGCGAGGATTTTCACCAGCTGGCGCGGTCCAGGAATTAATCTGACCATCCCACGTACTTCAATTAGCAGTGCTATTCTGCATTGTGACCCGTCCTTGAAATCCTCGTGCATACCGTCTTCTTTCCATTGAAAACATTCTGTTCTCAGTCAGTATTTCTAGACTTCTCTTGTTATCCGGTTCACATCTATCTGCGGTCAACTGTCCTTCAATTAGTGTGCTGTTCCTATTTATGAATATGTCTGTCAAACAGAGAGGTTCCAGGCTGTCCAAGACAGTGCTCAATACCGAGAGGCAGAGCGGGTTCAGACAATAAGAGGACAAAGATAGTATTTTAACTCTGCGTTTCCCGCACTAAGCGATCATCAGAAAACAGTTATCCGTACAGCTGAACAAACGAGTCACGTTGGTCATACATGAACATGTACGCAGAACTAACGTAAGTCGTTGTTACTTCACTACCAGCTGACATGTTCTTGCATGAATCGGAGAGCGACGTGTTCTTGAAAGAATCTTGTTCAAGTTTATTAGGACAGATCGTGGACAAGTACTGGTGCATGTTGCACGGGACGCGACGACCTTGGTGAACACACTCGAGCCAATCACCTTAAAGAGCACGCTCGTGCTTTACGTGAACCAATCATCGTCCTCGTTTCGATGAGAAGATTTGACCAATCTGTGAGCATCACTTTCGGGAGTCGGTTAATAGACTGCAATCTAAGCGATTCAGCCCTCCCATATTTTCTTTCCAGGCAGCGCTCCGGAGCTGTTGCGTGCCCTAGAAAGGTTCTACGCCAACGTCCATAAGCAGAACATTTCTGAGTACAAACGAAATTCCTTGCTTGCCGCTCGATCCGCAATCCATCGACATGCCGAGCGTACAAAACCTTGTTTGCTCGCTGACTGATGACTTGTCACCACCTGGTCACATGCCGATTTCATGTGTACTCAGAAAAGTCCTGTTTGCAGAAGTTAGCGTAGAAATGTTCTTCGGCACTCGCCATCTCCGGTGCGCTGACTGAAGAGAAATCAAGCGCAGCACCGAGTACTGCTCTCTTTACAGTAAGTATCGAAAAGTGGTGAATATAAGCGGTGAATATCTAGCAATATCCACTACGCCTGTAGATGGCCAATTGCATGTGGGTGAATATGGAATGAAGTATAAGCCAGTGTCTGTAGAGCAAGAAGGTAGACAAGAAGGTATGTATTTTTGTGTGTTTTCGTGTATGTATATAGCATACAGACAGACTAAGACAACAATGGTAACAGCACACAAATTGAAGGGCAGTTGAGTGCAACTAGATAAGAACAGTATAAAGAGAGCAGTCTTATGTTAAAAGGAATAACGCACCTGTTTGTTCAGAGAGCTCCGCTTCATCCTCCTGATACAGGTTTGCAATGCGTTCGTCCGTTGACCACATGGCATGGCTGAAGATACACACGCACACGCACACACACACACATACACACACACACACACACACACACACACACACACACACACACTCACACACACAAACACACATACAAACCCACAAACACATTCAAAATGAACAAACATGGAACATACAAACCATTTGATGACAAAATTCGATACTTGCACACACACATGTAGCTGCCCACATTGCTAGCCGTACTCCTGCATGCATTCCTGCTCATACTCTTGCCAACGCCCAAAATCCTGCCCACACTCCTGTTTGCACACTTTGCCCACGCTGCCCCTGCCCACACTTCCAGCCCACACTCCATGCCCACACTTCTCTGTCCACACTCCCCCACCCACACTCCCCCTGCCCACACTCCCAGCCCATACTTCTCTGCCCACACTCTCCCCCGCCCACACTTCTCTGAACACACTTCCCTGCCCAGACTTCTCTGCCCACACTCCCTGTCCACACTCCCCTGCCCACACTCCCCTGCCCATACTCCGTGCCCACACTTCTCTACCCACACTCCCCTGCTCACACTCCCCCCTGCCCATACTCTCCCCGCCCACACTTCTCTGCCCACACTTCCCTGCCCAGACTTCTCTGCCCACACTCCCCTGTCCACACTCCCCTGCCCACACTCCCCTGCCCACACTCCGTGCCCACACTTCTCTACCCACACTCCCCTGCCCACACTCCCCCCTGCCCACACTCTCCTTGCCCACAATTCTCTGCCCACACTCCCCTGCCCACACTCCCCTGCCCACACTTCTCTGCCCACAATCCCTGCCCACACTCCCTGCCCTCACTCCCTGCCCACACTTCCTGCCCACACTCCCCTGCCCACACTCCCTGCCCACACTCCCCTGCCCACACTTCTCTACCCACCCTTCTCTACCCACACTCCCCATCCCACACTCCCCTGCCCACACTCCCTGCCCACACTCCCCTGCCCACACTTCCCTACCCAATCTTCTCTACCCACACTCCCCTGCTCACACTCCCCTGCCCACACTCCCTGCCCACACTCCCTGCCCACACTCCCCTGCCCACACTCCCTGCCCACACTCCCCTGCCCACACTCCCCTGCCCACACTCCCCTGCCCACACTCCCCTGCCCACACTCCCCTGCCCACACTCCCCTACCCACACTTCTCTGCCAACACTCCCCTGCCCACACTCCCCTGCCCACACTTCTCTGCCCACAATCCCTGCCCACACTCCCTGCCCTCACTCCCTGCCCACACTCCCTGCCCACACTCCCCTGCCCACGCTCCCTGCCCACACTTCTCTACCCACACTCCCCTGCCCACACTCCCCCCTGCCCACACTCTCCTTGCCCACAATTCTCTGCCCACACTCCCCTGCCCACACTCCCCTGCCCACACTCCCCTGCCCACACTCCCTGCCCACACTCCCCTGCCCACACTCCCCTGCCCACACTCCCCTGCCCACACTCCCCTGCCCACACTCCCCTACCCACACTTCTCTGCCCACACTCCCCTGCCCACACTCCCCTGCCCACACTCCCCTGCCCACACTTCTCTGCCCACAATCCCTGCCCACACTCCCTGCCCTCACTCCCTGCCCACACTCCCCTGCCCACACTCCCTGCCCACACTCCCCTGCCCACACTTCTCTACCCACCCTTCTCTACCCACACTCCCCTGCCCACACTCCCCTGCCCACACTCCCTGCCCACACTCCCCTGAACACACTTCTCTACCCAATCTTCTCTACCCACACTTCCCTGCTCAAACTCCCCTGCCCACACTCCCTGCCCACTCTCCCCTGCCCACACTCCCCTGCCCACACTCCCTGCCCACACTCCCCTGCCCACACTTCTCTACCATGGTTCCGGGTTCACGGATATGTGTTCACTGGCTGACATTATGCCATCCTTGGTTAGTGCACCCACACAGTTACTGGCCACAGCGTGAGCGGGCCTAGCTTCCCCAGTTGACCCCCTTTCAGAAGAACAGTGTACACTCTGCCCACACTCCCCTGCCCACACTCCCCTGCCCATACTCCCATGCCCACACTTCCCTGCCCACACTCCCATGCCCACACTCCCCTGCTCATACTTCTCTGCCCATACTTCTCTGCGCGCATTCCTGATCACACTCCTGCCCACACTCTCCTGCCCACCCTTCTCTGCCCACACTCCCTGCCCTCTTTTCTCTGCCCACACTTCTCTGCCCACACTCCCTGCCCACACCCCCCTGCCCACACGTCTCTGCGCGCATTCCTGATCACACTCCTACCCACACTCCTGACCACCCTCCTGCCAGCCTTTATGAACATGCTCATACTCCTCCGCTCACTTCTCTGCTCGCATTCTTGATCACACTCCTGCCAGCCTTTCTGAAGACGCTCATTCTCCTCCCCTCACTTCTCTGCTTGCATTCTTGATCACACTCCTGCCCACACGCTTGCCAGCACTCCTTCCCACACTCCCTCCCACGCTGCTCAGTCCTGCCTCCCACTCCTCACTACTGCCTACACTACTTACTGCCTGCACTACTGCCTACACTACTGCCTACACTACTGCCTACACTACTGCCTACACTACTGCCTACACTACTGCCTACACTACTGCCTGCACTACTGCCTACGCTTCTGCCTACACTACTGCCTGCACTACTGCCTACACTACTGCCTACACTACTGCCTACACTACTGCCTACACTACTGCCTGCACTACTGCCTACACTACTGCCTACACTACTGCCTACACTACTGCCTACACTTCTGCCTGCACTACTGCCTGCACTACTGCCTACACTTCTGCACGCAGTTCTCTTTACACACTTTACCCAGGCGCGTAGCACGGTGGTCCGGCCAGGGGGGGGGGGGGGGTGTGATCTCCCCCGGAAATATTTTGAAATTAGGGTGCAAAATCCTGCATTCTGGGCACTTTTGGCATTGTTTTACTATTTCCAAGAAAACAACTATGGACAGCATTCAAAGCCTGTTATCTCATCCACCATTGAATAGGTGTACAAAAACTCTCAGCAAAACTAGCGAGGAAAAGAAATGCAGGCAAGAAATAATAATATGTGACAGATGGCGTACAATATGCATTGAAACAATAAGTAGAATAATTATTACTGTGCATGGTCCCGCTGCTGTGTACGAAAGCCAAAGCCGCAGAAAAAAAGACAAGAAGAGCAATCCCAGGCAAACTGCTAGCTGGGTTATTTAGCTGCAAGATCAGCATCCATGAATGTGCCAAATATTGAGCGGCGGTGATCACTGCTGGTGACATCGATGAAGGCATTGCCCAACTACACCACAGACAGTGCATCTGTCCTGTCCTTGTGCGTCTGGAGGAGCATGACTGAATTTAACCTACTCTGGCCCATTGTGGAGCGGAGATAGGTCTTGATTCTCCGCATTGCTGAGAAGGATCTCTCGCTGATGGCGTTGGTAGCTGGGCTTACCAGAATCAAGCGCACCAGCTTCACAACTTCAAACTGAAGCTGCCTCTGAGATGTGGAGTAGCCCCGCAAGAACTTCAGCACAGACCTAAACGTGACATCGTCATCAGAGTTCAGCTGCGTCTGAAGGAGGGAAAACTGGGTCAGAAGGAGGTTGGAGTCGAGATCCTCGCCGTACAACTCTGTCACTGCATTGAACTCGTCTGTAGCGTCAACCCCTTTGGCACTCTTCAAGAGAAGGTTCTCCATCTGCGTGTATATGGCGTAGCCCTTCTGATTAAACCGGGTCTGGATGGAAGATTTGGCACTGTCAAGCACTTCATAATACAGCTGCCGATAGTGGCCTTCCGGGGAGCTGGGGTGGTATGCTGGCTCATCTCCACCTTCATACCTCTGTGGACGTTTGCGTTTGCGAGGGAACTGCGGTTCAGAGACATCAAACTGGTGACTTTTTGCCACAGTAGCCTCCCAGAACATCGAGAATGAATTCTCTGGTCGCATCTTTGTGATTGTGTCCACCGTCAAACGTGCTATTTTCTGGGCTTCGGCAGCAGACATTGTTGAATTCTGGAGGGAAACAGAAAGGTTGTCACCATGTGCCAGGACAAGACGGGCCAAACTGATTCCAAAGAAGGAGTTGAAAGTCTCCATTTGAGCCTTCGCTCCGATTACGCGAGCACGCACGTCGGGGTCCACACTTCCAGCCAGAACTTCATCCCACAGTTCTTGCAAGACCAGATAGTTATTCAGGATGCTTTGCAGACTCTTGCCTTGCACTGTCCAGCGGGCCGGGCACAGCACACGGAATCCTGGTGTGTCGGGCGAGATCTCACCCTTCAGGGCGTCAAATCGGGCATTCCGTTTTTGCGAGTACTTAATTAACTTGCTGATCTCGCTGGTGACATCGAGGGAATCTCTGGTCAGCACAGTCGTCTTGATGGTGTCGCACATTGCCAGGTTCAGAGAGTGCCCGTAGCAGTGCACAAAAAGAGCCCTTGGCTCTTCATCTCCCAACTGCTTCGCGACACCAGATCTGTGGCCAGCCATATTTGTGGCACCGTCGTAGCATTGGCCTCGGCAACGGTTGAGTCGGTTGGAGGTTGAGTCGCAGCATGCAGTCCCGGATAGCCGCAATGATCGTATCTGCAGATATGTTGTCAATCTGGCACAAACCAACGAAATCTTCATGAGCTTCCAACTCCTGGTCAACCCACCGGAAGCACAACGCCAGCTGTTCCTTGTTAGATACGTCTGCGCACTCATCGGCCATTACGCTGAACACCTCAGCAGTATGGATGGACTTGGCCACATTCCGGAGTATGCTATGCGACATTAGCTGAAGGATTTCGTTCTGGATTTCGGGGGAGTAGTACTTATCCACTCGTTGCTCCAGCCAGGCACGCACCCCGGGAGTATGTAGCTTCTGTAGTTGCAGCAGTTGCATAAAGTTCGACTCTGCATCACCGTGGCCACGCAAGGGAAGACCTTGGTGACCCAAAAACTTCATGTTCTCTAGGATTCTGACGAACATTCGCCGATTCAGGGCTTTCTCCTTGGCATGGGCTTGACTTAGCGCCTCACCAACGTCCGGGACAGTCTGCGGTAGCACAAGCATCACCTGGACAGCGTCGATATGACACAGCGACTTTTCGTGCCGGCGGAACCCCTCCGTGGCATCTTTCCAATTCTTGAAGCCCTTAGAAATGAAGGCCGAGTCCTTCGATGGCGCTTTCAGCTTCCCTTGCTGATCAGCAAAGGAACACAAATGGCAGGTCACAGAATCCGTCGACTCGTCGTAGTGCAACCAGTTGAGTTTGCCCGAAACTTCGCTTTGGAAAAGCAAAGTTCCGAGGCTGATGAGCCTCCATGGTGTCCACACAAGCAGCAATCAGAGAGGAAAAAGAAACACAACTATGAGAATTATTTGGAAAAAGTGGAACACAAAAAGCAGCGGATAAGCGAAGGCGTACAAGCGAAAAGCGTCCGGGGATGTGCATCACACAGTGTACATGGTCGTAGGCCATACCGGTAGCCCTATAATTATGCACTTACACTCGCATGTGTTACGCGTAGGGCTCCCTGGTGCAAGCCAGGAAGTCGTACGACCCCCTACGACTCCCTGGTGTAGGCCATGCAGCCTTGCAGGGCCTTCAAAAAAACGTGGTCGGGCGAAAAAGTGGTCATGTCAAGCAGTGTAGGGAAATTCTTGCCACTGCCTACTGACCAGTACTTTGGCCGAGTGGTTGTGGGCTTGCCTGCGAATCCCAAGATTCTGAGTTCAAGACCAGTGCTGACACCAGTGAGCGTGTACTGTGTTAACAAATGCTGTGATGGAAGCGCGAAGCACTTTACATGCAGTTAACTGCTCTGCGTACCATGGTCAACTGGCTACTCACTACACTGTATTCGTAGTGAGGGTAACATAGATGCAGCTAACGAGGTTTGCACCTTGTCAGGCATTGCTTGTGATACTTACTAAGTTACCCTCGCTGTCACGTGCTGCATCTGCCACCCTGGTATCTCAGGCATGGTGGTGGCCTTGTACAAGCAAAACTTCCTAAACTGGTTGTGTTTCTCAACACAATTGCAAAGGCGGTTTGGTTGCGTATCTGCGATCTTTACTTTCTTCTGCTTATGTACTTCAAATAGGGAAGGGTGTTTTAAAGAGGATCTGGTAACTACACAGCTCAATAAGACATTTCTGCTTTCTAGGGATGACGACACCGACACATGAAAATACCACATGAAAAGACTACATGAAAAGAGCACATGCAAAGGCGTCAGATGCCGCTTTTTTACGGATGGAAAGGAAAATTCAGATCCACAATTTACAGTAAATGGGCAAAGGTGAAAACCCACTTTCTGCATCAACGTTGCCCTGTTTTCCAGACCTCGTGTTCCCAACTCACTGTGGTGTACAGCACAGTTGAAACAATTCTCTTCAAGTCAGGACTTGATCATGATACATTTAGCTATCATTGCACAATCATGGTCTGAGATCTCACTCAATGGGCCGGCCTGACTCATTATGTTGGAAATGGTGCAGTACATTTCACTGAACTTTACCTAGGACTGATTCAACGGTTCTATACTTCATTGTTGAGCAATTCAGGAGAAGAACTTACAGTGGTGAAGTGGATAGGAAAATTCCACAGCTGCCATCAGCAGCGTGATGCTCAGCATGGCCTGATACATTCAACAGGAAAAAACAGAAAACAGATTTTAAAACTATCCCTGTCTCTGTGCAGAAGTATTCGATTATAGGAATGGGTACCAGTCATGTGTGCAGTATCCACAGAGAAAAATATTCTCTTTTTTCGTATAGAATCCCATGCAAACAGAAGTTCTCTTTGAGACCTGAGCAAGCCCATAGATCAAGTTGTGTTGCAAGATAGTGTGAAGTAGACATTTGCACACAAGTAAACTAACACTAGCATACAAGGAGCACACATGCTGTATTGAGCACATTCAACTTTACCAGCAGCATCTTGGCGAGCAGCAGTGGACTGACTGGCTTGATCAGAGTGTGACTGGCTGCCAGAAGAAATGCTCTCTGCCGAGTCTGATTGAACAGCGGAGGCAGTAGCTCCGGCGGAGACCGGCTGGACGGCTTGCACCCGACGCTTCCGGAATATGTCCGGGAAATCGGTGGCCAGCTGCAGTGTGGAGAGTAACAAATATACAAACAAGCAACAAACATGGCTCTGATATCAACATCAGCTAGTGTCAATATCATCCACACCACTGAGAGTGAAATCAATGAGAGGTACACGGCCGAGAATACATTGTGCATTACGTAATGGTAGGTGAGAGGCAGAGAGAGAGAGTGACTGAGGGAGACTGAGAGAGAGACTGAGAGAGAGGGGCGTGCGCAACAGGCCATCACACTCACCAGTTCTTCATGCTGCCGTAGCACCTTGCAGATCTTTGCAAAGCGCTTGGCGTTCGGTGATTTCACTAGCAGCTGGTGAAGCTTGGTCGAAGTGTGATGGTAGTCGGTAACTGCCCAGCTGTGGACCAATTCTGCTGCAGCGCGTAGATGATTACTGTGCCCACGTGATGAAGATGATGATGTAAGGCCCAGGCAGGTGGCTAGTGCGGGCAGGTCGGACTCACCAAGGCTTTCTCGGATGGACTCGAAGGACTGTGCAGAGAGCAGTGAAGCATGGTTGACCGGCCATTCGAGAAGAAGCGGGGCACGATCAACGTAACTGTGGCTAGTGGAGAGATGAACCTTTGTTGCTACGGATGATCGGACTTCCTTTGCATCGTACACAGCGAAATCAAACTTGTCGCTTGGCTCGTGGAGGTGCTGACGAATCGAAGCAGAGCTGATGATGCTTGTGGAGTAGCTAGTGCCCGGGCTATACTGTGCTGCCAGGTCACCAAACACCTTGCGCAACAGAGCCAGCAGACAATAGCCATCTAGCGTATCTTCAACGGGCGCATGGACAACAGCGACAGCTTGGCGCAGGCTGTCCGTGACGGAGATGCAACCACGGGCTGTAGAATGGACTGGAGCCACTACCACCAGATTCTTCCAGAGCTCAGCAGGAATGCCGTGAAGCTCGTGGAAATAGGCGTACAGCTCTGTCTGTAGCCGGATAACAAGAGCAGTGGAGAAGCAGTGCTGAGTCGTGAAAGAGACTCCTGCGCACGCCGACCGAGATGATGAATCTTTCTTGGCCAGTGAGCCGAGGCAGTTGTCAGCGGTCGGAAGGCGGCTGGGTGCCAGGATCCTTTCTTTCTCCTGGAGCAACACACCTAGTTGTATCACCATCTGCAGCAGCAGAGGGCCCTGACCTTCTGCTCCCTCGCAGCTGTTAAGCTTGCCAAGGACTTCCTGGACCTTCGCAACACCATCTATGAAGTGCAGCATATCTTCGTCATCAAGCCCAGGTGGTGCGAAAATGAGACCAATGACCTTGGAGAGCAACCAGTTGGGTCGGTTAACAATGATGTCGTCCAGCTCAGGGGATGAGAAAGAAACAATCTAGAAACAAAAACACGATATGCAAACCCATACACACAGCAACACACATAGTTGTAAGCCGATGCACTGTACATGCCCAAATATGGATGCAAACACATTCCACACGCATGCGCAGACAGAAGGATAGTAAAAAGGCCAAATACCTCCAAAATAAAACATAACAAAGCAAGTCAACCAGCCAATCCTCGACGTGTCATGACAGCACATTTCGCCTGACCCCACATTGAGAGACAATGCGATACTGTTAAATGAACCATCCTAAGTTTTAAAGAAATGGATGTAAGGGACACGGGTAGAGATGCCCTGGCTTGAGTTGCGCGGAAATCAGTGCCGTATCCTCTCATGGACACAAATACTACCCTCTGGTGCCAGCCAAAGCAGGACTAGGCAGCACATCCTAATAGAAACTCACTGTTGAAGATCAACCCATCAAAGGTGCAAAGCACAATGCACCCGTTGTCAATCATCTCTTTAACAGCCTAAAGCCAGCAATCTGTAGGTGATATCCCCTGCTGTCAAGCCCCAGCTAGCCATACTGTGCACAGCAACACACTAAACCTGTTCCACAATTTTCACTTCACCTTGAAGTTTCCAGAAGCCTTACACTTACTAGTACAGTTGAACATCGATTATCCGACCACCTCTGGGCAGACAACTGTCAGGCGGTGTTCATATAAGGCAAATGTTCCGGATAATAAAAAACTGTCACTCACACACTTTCAGTGGTTATTACTAGCCGCACGACCCTTTTTACTTTTTACTTTTCAAAATTTTCGTATTTTTTGAATGGCTCACTACATGCACAGTGCGTACTCTACGGCACGTGCGCCCAAAAAAACTGTTACGGATAATCGAATGGTCGGATAGTCGATGTGCGGATAATCGATGTTCAACTGTATCGGTGTATAGCTGGTCTACCACTGAATAATAGATAATAAACTACAGCTAATGGCAGGATGGGCATCGTAATGTTCTAGATATGGGCTTTAAAAGAAGTAGAAACAAATCAAACCGGTTGCATCTTTCCCTCAAACCAACGAACAAGAACAAATCTAGTTTAGGGGTGGTTGCAAACGTTTTTTTGTTGTTCCTGAGACGAGCATCATTCGTTGGAGGGGTTGGGGGGGGGGGGCAAAAATCGCAAGTCGACCGACACTAGGGTCAATTCATCGGAAACTGTCCCGCTGGCTTTTGAAAGTTCGATCTGGGCCGTATTGAGGATCAAAACCCCACTTTAAATCTCAAGAATCTCATTCTTGGTTTGGGATTTGCTTCTCCACATACTTTGCCATGCCATACCTGTCAAAATTTTGTATACCTAGCTGAATTTCTTTTAATGGATACGAGCTAAGACACTTTCTGACTGTATAAAGTATCATGTTACAGTGATGGAGAGTTACTCTCGTATCCATAATGTCTTTTTCCTTTCTACATTTATTTCTGGCTCAACATCCGAGTTTCAAATTGCACACCTGATCAGCCGTCACGAGCCATACGGCGAAACGTACGTCGTGTGAAACAACTTGTTTTGTAGTCAACTAGTCCATCACAATGTCATGCATGACGAGAACTGTAGGAGTTTGGCTTTCGGCTTGTTCAATTCGTTTTCGAAAAGCTTCCCATTTCTTTACTTATCTTTGATATTTTATGACCCACCCAAGCTGGGTGGTGTGCTGCTTTGCTGCTTCGAATTGTAGTTAGACCGCTTTGTCAAATATCGTATGGGTCTCGTCATCGTCCAGTAACAATCGACATTCTTTGTTCCGTTGGGACTGTAGTTTTTGCTCGTTTTCGTCCCGCTTGCCTTCCCCTCTTTTGTCTTTTCGTAACCTTGAACCTTCCAAGTTGGAATACATAATTATACATGCATGCAATTTTCCTCATCCAGCATAGCAAGCTGCGTTTGTTTCATAGGGAGTGGAGGGTGTGCGAGTAAGAAATGAGCAATGTTCATTTCAGGGACGATAAAACACTCTTGCAACGACCCCTTAGAGATGTACATGACACACATGACATACATCATAACATGAAATACATCTACTGCAAGTAAATTGAAATTACTCTATCTGCAGAGTATGTACATACCAGCCCATACGCATTGAGGATCTTGCGATACCGACGGATTTGTTCGGTGTAGATGCTGTCTTCATCGTCATCATACTCTACGTTGCTAGCAGCATAAAGCTGTCGAGAGAACTCCCGACTTGTTGAGAATGGCTCTCGGATGTTGTCATGCAGTTGTGCCAGTACTTCCTCTGCCTGCCCGAGCACTTTGGGTTGCTTGGGAGATTTCTGAACATGCACATCAACACAGTGGGTAAAGTACTCTCTGTTCACAAACATGATTAAACATTTTATCGTTAATGACGTATGTATACGTCACTGAGAACGAACACAATCCACTAATGACGTACTTCCTCCGTAAGCAAAACTTCATTGCATATTTACAGTTCAGTATATAGCATTTTATGGCTACAAACACACTTTGAAAAGTGGAAAACACAGCAGCATATGAGGGATTAGTTATTTACAGATGTCATACAGCTCGTTTCAAAGCAGTCCAGCTTCACTCTTTGTCTGAATCTCATGACGACTCCATGATGATATCGTGTCTGCATCCGCGCTGACTTTCGTTTTTGTTCCGCAGCTTTTACAAATTGCCAAAACACTAGAAATCGCCAAGTTCTTTGCCCGAATTGTGAGCTTGACGACCTCCACAGTGGCGCTGTTAGTTGTTGTCTCTGCCACTCTCCAGAATGCCGTGATGGAAAGAGGCATACAGACACAGCCAAACGCTCCTCATCTTGGCAACGGGGTATTCATGCCAACATGTTTCCACAGCTTGCAGAAGCTTCTTTCTGGTTTCCTTCGTCACAAGTGACAAGTCTGCCTGCAGGCTGTGGAAGAATACCAAGTCGTCCGAGTTGAGATTGGGACTTTGAGTCGGCTGAATGGCAACCCAAATGTCAAACCCTTTTGCTTTCCCCTGCGCTGCTAACACACGTGCATTGATTTTGGCTGCGTGCGGACGTGCACCATCGTGCTGGTATGGCATGCAGTGGCTGGCCGAATTCTTCGAGCAGCGCATCTTTTAAACTGTTTCTCATTTTCGCACTTCGGTGTCGTCTGGGCCTGGATAGGGTTGTGTTCTGGTGCCGATTTTCGAAAGAACACCACACATATATGTATATTATATCGGGCCTGATTGGAAATTTTTATTTTCATTGCTATTAGGTTCGGCCTCATTTCCTCTGTGCTGCGTTGATGCGTTCACAAAGAACGAAACACTGTCCGCAGATTGAGCATTTCGCTCCTGCTCTTGTAGTAGTTGAGCACTCTCATGTGGGGTAGTGCCTTTGCTGTTTGCATTACGCAGAGCTCACTGACTTGTCAGTTTGAGCACTCCGTGGCAAGGTACGTTCGGGCTTGATTGGAAATTTTTATTTTCATTGCTATCAGGCTCAGCCTCATTTCCTCTGTGCTGCGCTGATGAGTTCACAAAGAACGAAACAGCATGCTGCCCGCAGATTGAGTGTATAATTATTATATTTTATACTTTTTTTAAACTTTTGATTAAGTTTTCCATCAGCCCGATTGGTATTGTTGCTAACGGCTTTTGTTTTTGTCACTCCTGTCAGTTAATTGTATTGTATTACTCTTCAGACATCAATCCTGAATGGCGTAAGCGAAAGTGGCACCCCGCCACCTTCGTGGACATGCGTTTAATAATGTTGAGTGACTCATCTATCAGGTCGCTACAGCCAGAAGAAACGTACAAATACCACGGTTTCCTTGAAGCTGGAGGTGTTGACCATTCAAATATGAAGACGAAAATCCTGCAGGAGTACAAGTGGCGTGTGCGACGAGTACTCCGCGCAGCTCTAAACGGCCACAACATCATCACAGCCATCAACACCTGGATTGTGGCTTTGATATGGTATAGTGCTGCTATCTTGGCATGCATGCAAGACGAGTTGAAATCTGCTGACCGAAGAACGCGCAAGCTTATGACCATGCATGGAGCTCTCCATCCACGCGCTGATGTAGCCAGTATGTACGTCAGTCGCAAGGAGGGTGGACATGGTTTGCAAAATATTCATGATGATGTCACAATGGAGAAAAGCAATCTGCAGCGTTATGTGCATCAGTCAGATAAGGAGCTCCTGAAGGTGGCTGCGCCCATTCTGTGGCCACATCTGAATGCCCCACCAGACTCCTCACAGGTAGTGAAGTGTCGCTTCAAAAAGAACACCTCTTGTCGTGGACCCAGAAACCCGTGCATGGACAGTTTGTCCGGCAAAAAGAAAAACTGACCAAGGAGAACACCTGGAACTGGCTGACAAAGGCTGGTCTCAAGAAGACCACAGAGAGACTGATCACTGCGGCACAAGACCAGGCCTTAGAAACTAACCTGCTCAAGGCCCAAATCTTCTATCAGGGCAGACAGAAGCCCCCTGTGTCGAATGTCTGGGAAGGCAGGCGAGTCGGTTGCCCTTATCCTATGCGAGTGTTCGAAGCTCGCTGGAAGGGATTACTTCAAGCGTCAAAATCGGCTGGCCTCTCTGGACCACTGGTCGCTCTGTCGTGTACATGGGATACCATGTGAAGACAAGTACTACAAGCACCACTGTGATCCGGTGCTTGAGCATACCAAGACTAGTGTAACAGTACAAGAGCATCCTGCACCCGAGGATAATGTGCCTGAAGCTAGAGATACTTCAGACTCCAAAATCTCTCCACAGGACAAGAAGATCAAGATTCTGTGGGATTTCACCATCCGGTGCGATCGCTTCACTAAGCACCGACGGACTGATATTGTTCTGGTTGATGGACCTGCCAAGAAGGCCCTGATCATTGACATTGCTGTGGCTGGTGATCCACGCGTTGTTGAAAAGGACATTGAGAAACGTGCCAAGTATCAAATTCTTGCTCGCGAAATCCATCGACTATGGCAAGTTGAGACTCCGATTGTTCCTGTGGTAGTTGGGACTTAGGGCACGTTTCCAAACAGTTGCCAGGATATCTTGACACAATCGGTATCACCAGCTACTGTTCTATGTCTGAATTGCAAAAGAACGCTCTCCTTGGCTCGGCAGCTATCCTGCATAAGGTCCTTGCTTTGTTATTTAATATCCATATTTATTATGATGCATGGCCCCACCTTTGGCTGCTGGTTTCTAGCTTGGTGGGTGCCTATCTCTAGCCTTCGGCCGAGTGCTCATGGATAATTGGATCATTCAAAGGATCAGACGGGGAAGTGAACTGCCTAAAAGGATAAAACATCACCAGACCCCCAGGACCTTGTCCTGGTGGCTGAGTACATCAGACTCACAGCCACACGCTCTTGGACCAAAAATCACTTTCGCTGATCCATATTTTCCCTCGTGTCAGGCCATGATCCAGGCACTATCCCTGCAGCTTGCCACTTTCTATGCCGGACATTATTTTGTGAAGGTCATTCTTGGAACATCGTATAAGGTTGCTTTCCAGTTTGAATAGTTCTTTCATAACCAAATCCATGGCACAATTCACGGGAGAGGTGCAAGTGCGGATGACCACAAATGATTATAAACTCTGTCTAATGCACTGGTGTGCATTGCAGTTCTATCTCTGTCTCTCTTTAACTCCCACCTCACTCCCTGTCTCCCTAACTCTTTCTCTCCATCGATCTGTCCATCTTTCTCTTCATCTCTTTCTGCCTTTCTTTCTCTCATTCTCTTCTCTCTTGTTTTTTCTCTTTCTCTTTCTCGTTCTCATTTTCTATCTCTTTATCCTTCTCCCTCTTTTTCTCCATCTTTCCATCTTTGCCTCTCCCTACCACACTTTATCTTTCCTGATCCCTTTACTATCCCCTAGTTTCTCCACTAGTAGTAATTGAAATCTGGTTTACAGTTTTACTTACGCTCAGGATATCTCTGCAGACCTCAGAAAGTTTGACTCTCAAGCGATCGAAGTCTGCGTCATTGACGGTGGCATTGATAGCAAAGCGTCCTCGAAAGTGGAGTTTATCACCAAACTCCTTCTCGACACTACTATAGCTTGTGGCAAGCTTTGCAGCAAGTTTTCCATGATCCTCTCTCTTGATCTCGTCGCGGAAGGTCGCAATGATCATGACATTGAACGGCTGGTCTGTATTTGCAACAACAAGAGATGGGAAACGCAAACAAAAATATATATAATTATATTTGTGGTGAGGAGATTTGAGGAAAGGTTTGAGATTGGAGGAAAGGTGATTTTAAGCAACACACTCTCCGCAATATCATAGTATGCAGCTAACAAATTGGTCAAAAGAGTGTTTTAAAGCAATTGTGCTCATGCTACTTCAAATGAATTGGCGACCGATAGTACGTACTAGGGTTTTATGAGCGGCCTCGAATATATATATCTCGTGAGTGAGGATGGAACCATGCCTGACCTCCATGTGTTCGGTCTCGGGCTGAGAACCTTGGTAATCTACTGGAGAAGTGGCTGCACAGGCCAGGCAGAAGTGTGCGCTGCTGTTTCTGCAACAAATGAAGAAGAAGCAGCTAATGCCGACCAGGCTGATTTAATTATCAGATCTCTGAGGAGAAAAGTCTGGAGATGGAGAAGATAGATGCGAGTTCTCTGAATGTTTCCGAAAATCTTGGGCTCCATCGGGCATAGACAATTTTGGTATGGACATAGCTTATTTCGGACGTTGCTCAATTGGAGAAGAGAGCAGAATATTTGAACCACGGGCACGGCTCTTTCATTCAAGGCTCTCAACACTAAAGGATCTGAACATTTTCGATCCAGAAGCTGTTTGTTGTTTCTCACTTGTCAGTTGTGGACTCATTGTTCCAGCAAAGATGAGGCGGGAATATTCCATGCCCTAAAATAAAATAATTAATTTCTTTCTCAAACACAAAGCTCACTTTCCCTGCCTGCATGTATGTGCACGTGACAAGTCTGTGGACTTGTGTCACGTGATTCATGTAGCACGACAGTCCGGGTGTCCAGTAGACTGGTAGTGGTACATAACTTTATGCACAGACCATAGTGCTCTGTGTGGTAAAACTGTTAACCACTGCACACACACAGCGTGAAAAGTCCAACTCTGGAAAGTTCGGAATAACTTGAAGATTAGTATAATGTCCACTATCCGTGCACGCGCCCATGTGCCATGTATCGACACTCTTATCTCATTTGCTAGACCACCTCCGTGTGAACATGCATGGGCAAAAGGAAAGACCCAGTACATGGGGCAGTGCATGTTCAGCTTGATGTGCAGTAACAATTCGTTAGTACAGTGTACAGTGTAGTGCACAGCACTTGTGAATTAAACTGTTTGTTTTTTACGGCTGAGCGTAGCGAAAGAGTACAAAAAACGTACTTTTTTCACTCAAAAATATTTTCGTGCATTTGCTCTTGTTCTGCGCAACTCCGTTGAACCTGCCATCGTGGTCTTTGTTTTTCCTTGTGGTAGTTGAAGTTGCCCGCCCACCCACCCTGGTTTCAGGGGAGTCATCCGCTCTTCTCCTTGACAATCTATGCCTATGTGTGTGGCTTGTGATTACGACATACACCGGTTATTGCATACCATTTCTTGCTATCTCTATTCTTGGGTCCGACTGGCAGCGGGGCAGGAATTAATGAAATAGAAAGGTTTTTTGGCCGAAAGGCGTGTTTTTCCTCTAGCCCGGTTGAGCGGTCGCGGCTAGGAATGTAGGGAGTCATTGTTTTTCAGGCGCTCCCCTGCTGCCCAGTCACCCATGCTCACCACTGGCCATGCTGTTTCACTTGATTTCACGGCCTTTTCTCCCGCTTGCTGGCGGTTCTTTGATGAATTTAGATGTTTTTCGGCTATTTATCTATTATGTGGCTGCGAGTGTGGTTTTTTGCTTCTACTCATTTCTGGAAAACCACCACGGTCGTGAGTGTGATTGCTCTGGTAGACCACTACCCCATGTACTGAACAGTCGCTTTGTGAGTGAAAAACTATTTGTTCATGTGAAAAACAGTCTGATTTCACGTATCCAAAATATCGCCGGGACCACATACGCTCCCGGGCCCATATTGACGCACATGTGCTCGACCTTCACCAATGTTTCAACCCAAGGACTTATTACAGGCATTTACCATGGACAGAGGGATGAATATCTAGGGCTGAGTCTGGTAGCATGTTTCTTCAGGGATTTTCTTGGGTAGTTTTCCACGGGTAGCACGGATACCCTATTGGGTAATGTTTCCATGGTGACAGCACAATGCACTCCTTCCCTTACACACTGGATATACATGCAGAGTACTATATGAATTTGTACATGTGCACTGTACATGATGCCATCAGCGACTTCGGGTTTTCAGGTACTATTCTGTACCCGTCTACACGAGATCCTCACGGGCGTCATGGGTATCCGACTACCCACGCACACCACTATGAATAACACACACACACGTAAACACACACACACACACACACACCTGCATGCACACACACACACACATACCTGCATGCACACACACACACAGTGCCCTCCCTGCACCAGTATACAGAATCAAACACATACCCCAATCATTCATTCATTCATGTACTGTCGTGGACATGGAAATCCGGTCACACATCTAGCGGCCCCAGGGCACTCGCCATGCGGCCGTGGACAAGCGGTACACACATGCATTTATGCCCTGCAGAGCGCTGGTCGTATCGGATCAACACGTGCACTGTACGCAGCGTTCTGTTCGCGCTGAGGGCGCCGGCCCCGGTCAATCAACTGAATTTCCATGTCTGCTACAGTGCATGCCGACATACGGATCAACAGACACAAACAAAATTTCACAAAAATGCATTTGATAAAATATCGCACTGACCTGATGTTACCGATGGTGGCTTCCGGCTCAAAAACCGACCAACTGTGGTGGTTATTCTTGTTGTAATCCGTTTCTCGTCCCATTTACTATTGACAACAGCAAGACCGAGGCTTGGTACTGATGTGGATAGGCAGAAAATGTCGTGTGTGGCTGAAAACGCGTCCTGCCCAGCGAGATCTTTTATACGCAAATGCTGACCAAGATTATCAGTGAAGTTGGACATCTGGATGCCTCGGGTTCGTTTTGAGTCGTTTGATGTGCCGTTGTTTCCTTCTTCTCTCAATGTCGTGATCAGTGTGGATTTCCCTACAAGTTGTTCCCCGCTAACTAGAACAACTAGAGTGTTAGCGTCCTCTTGGCCTTCGGAATAAAATTCCTCCAGCTGAAGGTAAGTCTGCGTATATATAACACACACAAGAACAACAATTTTAAAAAGAAAAGGGGGTTCATCAACTTACAACCGCTCTATGCAGTTGCTATTCTCACTTGGCTCATGCGCTGGATGAAAATTCTTTATCAGTGACATCGAAAAAATTATGACGTTTCAGGCCACTCATTGTGCATAACATTAGCAATTGAATAGAGCGGTTGTCAGTTGATAAACTCCCTTTTCTTTATAATGCAGTTGTGTGAAGTCCACCATCTACCTTAGTAAAGAAAAACCATTACTGGATATAAGTGTTGAAAGCAATTTTTCCTAAGGGTTGGTTGACATAAGCAAAATCGGCGCCAAAAGACATCGCAAGACATCGGCGGTGAGCGAGATCCCGATCCGTTGCGCATACGGTTCGAGTTCCAAATCTACTACAAAGTATTACAGAATGTGTCCAAATGCTATGACAGGTTTGCCAATTGAAGCTTGAATTCTTTGTGTCTTCAGTAGTTTGAAACTCGGATGTTGAGCCATAAATAAATGTGGAAGAGAAAAGGACATATGGATACGAGTTAAGAGTAACTCTCCATCACTGTAACATGATACTATATACAGTCAGAAAGTGCAATAACTAGGCACAAAACTGACAGAGTACTGAAACATTCGACGTCCTGACACCTAGCTTCAACACATCTCCGTAGCGCTAACCGACAGCCTTCCAACTTGGAAGGTTCAAGGTTATGGAAAAGACCAAAGAGGGGAAGGCAAGCGCAACGAAAACGAGCAAAAGCCACAGTCGTAACGGAACAAAGAATGTCGATTGTTACTGGACGATGACGAGACCAGTACGATATTTGACAAAGCGGTCTAACTACAATTCGAAGCAGCAAAGCAGCACACCACCCAACTTGGGTGGGTCATAAATATCAAAGATAAGTAAAGAAAGGGAAGCTTTGCGAAAACGAATTGTACAAGCCGAAAGCCAAACTTCTACAGTACTCCTCATGCATGACATTGTGATGGACTAGTTGACTACAAAACAAGTTGTTTCACACGACGTACGTTTCGCCGTATGGTTCGTGACGGCTCATCAGGTGTGCAATTTGAAACTCGGATGTTGAGCCATAAATAAATGTGGAAGAGAAAAGGACATTTAGTGCTCAACATCCGAGTTTCAAATTGCACACCTGATGAGCCGTCACGAACCATACGGCGAAACGTACGTCGTGTGAAACAACTTGTTTTGTAGTCAACTAGTCCATCACAATGTCATGCATGAGGAGTACTGTAGGAGTTTGGCTTTCGGCTTGTACAATTCGTTTTCGCAAAGCTTCCCTTTCTTTACTTATCTTTGATATTTATGACCCACCCAAGTTGGGTGGTGTGCTGCTTTGCTGCTTCGAATTGTAGTTAGACCGCTTTGTCAAATATTGTACTGGTCTCGTCATCGTCCAGTAACAATCGACATTCTTTGTTCCGTTACGACTGTGGCTTTTGCTCGTTTTCGTTGCGCTTGCCTTCCCCTCTTTGGTCTTTTCCATAACCTTGAACCTTCCAAGTTGGAAGGCTGTCGGTTAGCGCTACGGAGATGTGTTGAAGCTAGGTGTCAGGACGTCGAATGTTTCAGTACTCTGTCAGTTTTGTGCCTAGTTATTGCACTTTCTGACTGTATATAGTATCATGTTACAGTGATGGAGAGTTACTCTTAACTCGTATCCATATGTCCTTTTCTCTTCCACATTTATTTATGGCTCAACATCCGAGTTTCAAATTGCACACCTGATGAGCCGTCACGAACCATACGGCGAAACGTACGTCGTGTGAAACAACTTGTTTTGTAGTCAACTAGTCCATCACAATGTCATGCATGAGGAGTACTGTAGGAGTTTGGCTTTCGGCTTGTACAATTCGTTTTCGCAAAGCTTCCCTTTCTTTACTTATCTTTGATATTTATGACCCACCCAAGTTGGGTGGTGTGCTGCTTTGCTGCTTCGAATTGTAGTTAGACCGCTTTGTCAAATATCGTACTGGTCTCGTCATCGTCCAGTAACAATCGACATTCTTTGTTCCGTTACGACTGTGGCTTTTGCTCGTTTTCGTTGCGCTTGCCTTCCCCTCTTTGGTCTTTTCCATAACCTTGAACCTTCCAAGTTGGAAGGCTGTCGGTTAGCGCTACGGAGATGTGTTGAAGCTAGGTGTCAGGACGTCGAATGTTTCAGTACTCTGTCAGTTTTGTGCCTAGTTATTGCACTTTCTGACTGTATATAGTATCATGTTACAGTGATGGAGAGTTACTCTTAACTCGTATCCATATGTCCTTTTCTCTTCAGTAGTTCAAGGTCTTTTGGTGATGGCCACTGGTTGCTACATTTTCTTGCAGTCTAGTAAGCTATGGTTTCGAAATTCTGCATGCAAACGTTGATGAAGTCACAAGAACTTGCCAATGTATCCATCGTATTAATTGTTTCAGTTGTATTTGTCTTATAAGCTGCACAACAGTCAAGCAGATCATCCGAAAAGGACGGGTTGGTATGCTGACTTATTTGCCACCTTGAAGCGATTACAAGAATGGCGAACGAACCTCGTCCCTAGCTTAATTTAGGTCGAGCCTTCGTTTGAAATTTTGACAAAGTCTGGCTTCCAGCAGCCGACGATCACCGGCGCAAACGGTTCACAAACCACTTTTGGTCAAAATCGTACGGGATCAGTGCCGGGGCAGATCGCAAGAGTTGTGCACCGTCCAACTTTGCGGGCGGTCCCTTGCGATATTTTACTGTATGATTTTGTTACGACTGCACTGGTTCACATAATCGTAATGCGCTGGGAGAGGTTGCAAGAGGCCCATTCCCGTTAACTCCCGGCGCGTACCGGCGATATGTGAACCAACCCTAAACAGCTGGGAAGATAATAATGCTCCATAGTTGGTAGTGTTCATCTGTTTGACAGTAAAGTATGCGAGGAGAACATTTCTTAAGTGATGATGTATTTTTGTATAAGTCGGACAATATAAATGAGAAGATCAGCTTGTACATATGATATATTGGTCTTTCGGCAAGCTGCATGCACAGCACACATGTACTTGCCTGAATTTAAGCACAAGCAGGAAATGAATCTATGAAGATTCTTGCTGCTTTCAACACTAGGGAGGTGGACATCGAAAAAATGAGTTGCTGATAGCTTTGTGAAACGTATTGAAAATCCAGACGGTATTTTACCATATGCACGGATTGAAAACGAAACTTTCTCCTTTTTAACAATTATTATGTGCATAACACCAGAGAATGACCTCAATTGTCACGATACTCTCCATAGCAACCTGATACTTGCAATACTCAGTATGACGGATAATAATGTCTTTACCTAGAGCTCGGATGTTGAGCCAAATATAATCATGGAAAAATAAAGAAAGGAAAACATTCTACAAGTTATGACCAACTGTCCAACAGTGAAACCAGATAATTTAACGTCATCAAGTGCGACTACAGGGCACAAAGCCGAAAAGGAGTATTGAGACATTCAATGACCTGACACCTAGCTCTAACACATCTGAGATGTGCAAACCAACAACCTTCCAACTTGGGAGGCTCAGGTAAGGAAATATAGAAAGAGGGGAAGGAAAGCGCAACGGAGATGAGCACGGACTTCGTCCCACGGCAACAAAGAACTCCGAACGTTACTGAATGAAGACGAGACCAGTAAGACAATTGTACATACCAGTATTACAACAACTCGACGATGCAAAGTAACTGACCACCCAAATTGGGACGTTCAAGTTTATAAGGTAAACATGGAAGGGGAAGCTGAGTTTTCTTTGTCAGTTTTTTAGCTAAGTACTCCTTGTCAGTTTTGTGCCCTTTTGTCACACTTCCTGACGGTATAACATCTGGTTAAATCTGTAGACAGCTAGTCATAACTCGTAACATGTTGTGCTTTCTCTACTTACACGAATAAATCGACGGTTGTGAGTATCAGCAGTCGGCTTGTCAGCGGCATGTCGCACAATTTCCATGACCTACATTGCCAATAGAACACACAGGAAAAACCATGACAGTTGTACAAGTAGGAATAGGGAAGAGGACAGGTGGTTGCTAGAGAATCGTCAGTAGAGAAACAGGGTTGCAGTGAAGTGAGGTGCCATTAAAGCCGGTCACGGACAAGGTAGCATGAGTAGAAAGAATACTTCTCTTTGTGGTTATTAACTTAATATGTATCTAATATTGCACGATTAACGAGGTCAATAGATGAAGCACAGAACGAGTAAAAAAACGAGGTCTCCCGAGGTCTTTTAGGACATCTATATTTCATATATTGACCGACTATGAGGGCAATACTAGATTTATAAAAAAGGTTTCAGAGCAGACTCTCTCTTCCCATTCACTCTGCAAACTCGAACTCGGGTTCACGTCCATTGTGGCTAGAATTGTTCCCTCTGGCGCTTTCATATCTGGGCATATAGTGCGAATATGATGGAGAGCATCGCTGGTATTGGTTAAATGCGCGGGGAGGAATTCCAGTAATTGATGTAGTATGCGCCCTAGAACAATCGAGATTCCTGTAACTGGACTATCACAAGCGGAAACTACTGGGCGGAGGGGCAAATTTTGCTTATGGTCTTTGGGCAGGCCGTAAAACTCTGGAAATCTCGTTTCACTCGGTATTATCGACTTCAGTACATCACCGTCCATGTTCTGACAATGAATCTTCAGGATACTTTTCACTTTCTCCTCATATGCGTTGATGGTGAGGTCAATATTCTTGTACATGGTGCTATCGGATAGAAGATTCCCTGCTTTCTCCAAGTAAACTTTCTGCCTCATAGCCACAAGCTTCTTACTCTTATCTGATGGCTTGATGACTGTGTTTGGGTCGTGGCGAATTCTTGTCAGCTCCTCGCGCTCTTCTCGAGTTATATTGGGCTTGGACGGCTTATGGCTGTCAAATGCTGCTACAATCTCATCCTTGAAATTGGCGAGCTTCCTCTCTTCGTCTGGGCTCATCTTCGGAGGTTGCACGAACCCAGCGCGACAAACACCTCGTGAAGCTCCAGGTAGCAGCGTGAGTCAGAGTCGCTCATGGAGTTGTGCTAAACAGACGTTGAGAGCCAGTATAGCTATTTGCAACGCTGTCACCTCCAACAACTGGAAACAACTGGAAACAAGCTGGAAACTGGAAGCTGGAAACAACTGGAAACAAGCAACAACTGGAAAGCAGCTGGAAACTGGAAGCTGGAAATAAAGTGTCTCTGTAAGTTTGTATCCCTGGTGATGGGTTTTCCTGGAGAGCAGTTTATGAGTGGTGCTTTTCAGGCACAATCTTCCTCAGCCTACTCAAGCTCAACTGATGAGGGGTGAATTCCCCGAAACACTGTGTATTGAGCAGGGAGTGATGCTTTCTTGCAGGTTTGCCGAGTGGAAGGTGCGACGTGCTTCTCGTGTGCTTCGGATGGCAGTCGTGAGTCAGTCAAGTGTCAAGTTCGGCAAAAGCGTGTGTTCCTAGTTGGAACAATCAACTTCATGACTATTATCGCCGAAATCGCAACTTCTAAGTTCGTATAATTATCATTGATAAATATGGTGGTAAAGACACACCTGGCCATATGGTGGTAAAGACACACCGGGCAATATGGTGGTAAAGACACACCTGGCAATATGGTGGTAAAGACACACCTGGCAATATGGCGGTAAACACACGCCTGCCCACACACGCTTTCTAGGCTGCAAAGTTCTGGCACAGAACTCTCCTTCTCACCACCACCACCATCAGTTCGCGCCTGGCGCCTGGTCGATGCATGGTTGGCGGTATCCGGAATAGCAGGCTGGTACATCAAGTAGCGCATGGCACATACATGATGACACAGCAACGACATAGCTCGAATGCGACGTACGTTTCGTCCCCGCTGGACTCATCAGGCAATCTTCTTCTTGGATGTCTTCATACGGAGCTTGACTCCGGAGAATGAAGTTCAAGACACCACTGCAGCTGTAATTATGGTTGATAAATATGGTGGTAAAGACACACCTGGCAATATGGCGGTAAACACACGCCTGCCCACACACGCTCTGTAGGCTGCAATGTTCTGGCACAGAGCTCTCCTTCTCACCACCACCACCATCAGTTCGCGCCTGGCGCCTGGTCGATGCATGGCTAGCGGTATCCGACATAGCAGGCTGGTACATCAAGTAGCGCATGGCACATAGATGATGACACAGCAACGACCTTGATTGCGACGTACGTTTCGTCCCCGCTGGACTTATCAGTGTTTACCGCCATATTGCCAGATGTGTCTTTACCACCATATTTATCAACCATAAGTACAGCTGCAGTGGTGTCTTTAACTTCATTATAATTATCATAATATATACAATGTAGCTCATTGGTATTGAAGATATGTCATTTTTGAATATGTCTATAATTATGAATATTGCAGCCTGAGTGATGATGATAGTGCTATTTCCTGAGTTTGATTGTTTCAGGATCTGTCAGTATATCACAATGCACAGACCTTCATGCATAGACCTCGCCATGCTGGTCTGTCATGGGCAATGGCTCGCAGGCTCTGCTATCACGACATAGCATACCTAAATTTTGCTTGCTTTGTCATAGGAAGAAAGGAATTCCATTGTAATAGTACATAGTATGCACGAGCACCCGGGTCTACGGTTAGACTTTTTCGAGCTCCGTAGTTTTTCGTGCGATTTATCAGCCCAGCCGGCACCTTCTTTCATTCTCATGATGGCCTGTGGCCAATAAGAGAATAATAATTACAGGCACTGGGATCAGATACAGAGAGATCAAAGTTTAGCTGCTTGCTGAGGCAGCAGGGATGGCAATAGGGAGTTTATCACATAGGCTGGGCACAATGGGGCTATAGATGTACTGAGCAATGTGAGCAAGTACATACGAAAGAGATGACAAGTGGTAGGATGTTTGCTTTGAAATCTCGTCTGGGGTTGATTTGCCGGAGGCTGAGTGGAATGCTATTAAAGAGATCAAGAGAAGCATAGATGGGGGAGTCCCTTAGCCGGTTTGTACGTGCTGTGGGTAGCTCAAAGGTTCGGGGGAACCTGAGCGTGCGAATGGATTGCATTCGGGTTAGGTGAATTGCAAGAATGTGTGGTAGTGCATATCTACTTGGTCCGGCTCATCGCAATTGTCGTTTATCCCTCACGCACTTTTTGACAGGTGAAGTACAATCACGATATCTTACTTACCTTTGTTTGGGAGGTTGGGATGGCAAGATCAAAGGAGGCACCAAAGAAAATGATCGCGACTAGGGCTTTGAATCGCGATGTGTTCGACTTTTTACAGAAGAGGGAATCTGGCCATTCACTGTCTGTGTTGCCAATAGCCAAGCGCTGCGACCTGAAGACCGGAACTGTAGCAGGGGCAACTGACATCCTGACCTGGAGAGCGTGACAGGCACGCGTGCATGGCAGAAGGGTATGAGCACCATGCTGAAAAAGAAAGGTGTTTTTGATGCGGTGGCGGATGCACTGACGTGTTGTTGATTCCTTCGCTTGGTGGACCTAGCAGCAGCATTACAAGAGTCGTGGTCAGCGTATCCAGCTGAGCGTATGACAGCTATCTGGAGAGGCCGGTATGCCTCATTCGATGGTTTTGTTGAAACACACTCTGGTAACACACAGGTCCCCCTACACACAGTTCCTTCAAGCACCGAAGTGACAGCCACAACTGTTCCTTTCCCATTGCTGCCATACGACACTCGACATACGACACTGGACAGCAGGCTGAGAATGCAAGAGGTAATCTACCAGTCTACGACAGCAGCTAGACATCAGCAATTAATGTCAGCTCATGTAATGGCGCGGCAGCTCGAGTGATGCAGAGTTGAATGAACTCCGGACCTTTATTACTAGTGTGAGTGCATGAACGCGCTCCTTCGCTGATTTAGTTCGTCCATTTTGCTTACCTTGCTTCCTTTCTTCGACTCGCTTCACCTGATTCCACTGCTGAACCTTCTTTCTGGTGGCAGAGAGTATTCACGTATCATGCTTCCTCACTATGCCTATTGTAAATTTCACTGCGCGCCGTTGGAAGCGCTCAAGCTGGTCGTTGAGGGTTGCGTGGAGGGGTGAGAGGACAGTGCAAGCAAAAACAAGAATTGGACGGACGTAAGTTCGATAGAAGGAGGAGAGAGCAGAAGTGTTTAAAGGGGAAGTCCGGTGAAAAATTTAAATTTCAGGGTCGGTCGAGTTTCGGGCGCTGAGTCGAATGGTGTTGGTCCCACGTGTCTCCGACAAAGCGTTCTCGAGATATTTCCGTTTGAAAAACTGAGTTTCGGGGGCTGCGCCATGACGTCATGCGGCCGCGCCACACCCTCCGCAACGTCATAGCGTGCAGCTAGGTCAAAAGGAGTGCGTGAAAGCAATAGTGTCAGTGCTATTTCAAATGATTTGGCGACTGATAATAGGTGGTGCAAGCGACCCTGAAGACCTAACTCCTTGCGAGAGTGAGGATGCAGCCATGGCTGACCTTCATGAGTTTGGTCTGGGGCTGAGAACCTCGGTATTCAGCTGAAGAAATGGCCGCGCGGGCCGGTCAAGAGTGAGCGCTACTGAGTTTCCGACTGATGAAGAAGCAGCAGCTATTGCAGACGAGGCTGATATAATTATCAGATCGCTGGAGAGCAGGGTCGCCAAAATGGAGAAGAGTGATGCGAGTGCTCTAAATGTTGTTCCATACCGATTCACTTAGACTCCAGTAGCCTGCCACATGGTGATGTTTTGGTGCGAACTTGGCATATTTCGGACTACTCAATTGGAGAACACTGCAGGCTCTTTGAACCACGGGCACGACTCTTCGCTCGCAACGCTATGGAATCTGAAAGTTCTAGGTCCTGGAGCTGTTCGCTGTTTTGTCACTTGTCACGGTTGTGCACTCATCGCTGTAGCATAAAATAATGAGGCGGGACTGGAGCGGAAAACTAAAATTTTCTTTCTCAAAGCACAACCACCGGCACCGGCAAGGAGAAACGCACGCTCTCTGACTACA